TGTTTGAACTGCTGAAGACCATCCTCAACTGCCAACTTCAGAGAACTGCACTGTGGTCTGAAACATCCTTCTTTCTGTACCATGCGTAGCTCTGAGATGCAGGTCTGCAACCTAGCAAAGTTCCCTTTCACTTGCTGCAGAGAAAAATGAATCAAAAATACAAAATTTCAATGACTCTTGCTTCAGAGTAGCTGTCTAATCTCATTACTCCTCAGGAGTACCTTTCCTTCCTGAAAATCTGTTTATTTGACCAACATGTACTGACTGGTTCTAAGCACTGTATTAAAACTTTCCCTATACCAGACAAATGAAATTTTGTAGCCTCCAAGGATTTGATTATATGGAGTTACTAGAAACTGGAAAGGAAGGGCTTTAACTTGTTCATTCACTCACCCAAATCAAGGTACAGTTGTGACTAGTATTACTTTGGGTTGGTCTGAAAATTGGAGGCCTAGGATCACCTTTAAACTTTATCTTCATTTCTCTGTCAGTCTAGGCACTTTAATCAAGAAGGTAATGTTTCCTCAAATGTGAAGATTTTGTTATGGCTGATCATTTCAGAATTCATAAAGTTCTATCTAATCTATTCCTCATGACCAGGTCAGTAAAGAAGAGATGCTTGGCTTAATATGCAGTTAGGTCAAGGAGTCAACATGCAAACCTCAGGGGGCAAGTGACCTTTTAGTGCTCTTCACTCTCTTTTAGAAAAACTTGCTTTTAGAAAGTAATAGAATACAATCTGATTCTAGCTCACTGCAACTTTTTTCAAGGATATATGCATTTTGAATAAATGTGAGATGAAAAATTTTACACTATTTGAAGGAATTTCAACATTAACAGTAGGTAGAGGGTAGGAAAGAATCATGTTTTGGGGTGGTGAAATCTTTCTGTTGGAAGAAAATAACTGACTAATATGTGCAAGGCACATAAAATGTATGAGTGTGGGCTACAATATTGCTTAAGTCAACCCCAGCCCTGCTCAACTCCATAGCTGCTTTGTTATCCTCAAATCTCTGGGGAAAACACAACAAGTAGGACATAATTCTTACACAAGGGACACTTGCAATCTAGATAAGAAGATAAGAAAACCATTCAACAAAGAAATAAGAGTACAAATCAGACCAAATGATGAGTGAATTTTGAGCATTTCTTCTGAAGTACCCCATAGAAGAATTATGAAAAATGATTTAGCCCTTTATACATTTTTAAGTCTACATCTAAAGTTAAAAAAAATCTAAGTATGGGCAGTTGCTAAGGAGAACTAACTTCCAGTATATTATAAATATCAACATTTAAAAATAAAACAATGAAATTACTCTTTTAGCATAATACAATGGAACCCAAACACCACTGTGATTTGATACTCAACATCATTCAATTAAAAAATACATGAGCAAGCTCTTTTCTTTTAAAAGACAGACATTGACATTATCCCTTTTTCTTCCTGAACTCATAGTTCTATTTCATTTGTCCCACAGAGTTTCATCTTAATGCAATAGAACATTGTGCTTGATAATGTTTTGCTGAGTATCCTATCAGGCTTCACTACAACAAAAATATTTACAAATTGCAAATTTTAATATTTCCTACATACATAGGCTTTAAAGAATAAAATTACATTATAGATTGAACTATTATTATAATTATTATTCATATACAACTGATCAAAACAACATCTTGATAAAGAATTTTTGACCTTACGCATAAACTTTAATTGGAAATGCACTGCTTAGTGGAATAGACAGTTTGGGTTCTTTTTTCATTTAGTTCAGGTATATGTGAATAAATATCTTACTGCTTGAATGACTCAACATTTAGCATCGATCTTATGCCTACTTTCTATTATATTGCTGAGAAATAATGTTCTCATAAATATAAGATGGGATGTCAATCAAAATTTCAAATTCCTTTGGTGTTTTAAAAAACACCCAGATATCTATTAATAAAAATTATTTCTAACGATCTATGAGTTGCTGAGAATTTATGGGTAACTCTGAGCCCTGGTGTGGCACTGTAGGATAAGTAATGGACTGCTAACTTCAAGGTCAGCAGTTCAAACCTACCAAGCGATTTTTTTTTGTGTGTGGGGCCAAGTGGGGAAAGCATCAGAGCAGCCAAGGATGCCTGACAGAGCCGCAGAGATAGAGGTGTGGACATTCTTTTTTTTTTGATATCTTTTCGTTGGTCCCTTGCTGTCTGCGTACCTCCATTCTGGTAACTATAGGGGTGCCTGAGCTAGTTGATACCCCAGCCCCACCCTAGGGGCTACTACGCATGTGCATAGATCTCCTCGAAATTTAAAGAGACAGTTTCCACTTAAAACCAAACAGCTGACAGATACTCAGCCCAAGAGCAGGCCTTGAAATTTTCTTGTTTACATTTTGTTCTGTTTTTTAACACATGAAAGAGAAGGAGAGGGCTGTAGGGAGGGAAAGAGAACTCATATTAGGCTACAGATTTTTTTTTAATTAAAAAAAATTTTTTTTTTCTTTTTCTTCCTTCTTTTTCTTCTCTCCCTCCTCTCTCTTTTCTGTGAATAGAGACTGCAGTGTCAGTCTTGTTTTTGTTGTTGCTGTT